GGAAAAGGAAACTAGCTATGCAATAGCTCGTTTTTATTGTTCTTCAAGTGATAAGCAGATTTATATAGTTAAGCTGATAAAACTTGCGTTAATAAGACCTTAATCCGACTCATATACTGGACTTGAAGCCTTTACTAACTAAATGGCACAAACAGTGATACAGCCTGACATGTAGACCAAACGAAAAAAAAAATTATAGCGGAGTTATGTTTCAGCTTGCTGCGTTCTGAACTTCCCGAGTCCCATTTACTGCGTTAATTTGCTGAGGCACATAGCAGTCAGACAAAGAATCTGGAAGGAAGTTCCCCGATATCGCTTTATATTTCGAACTTTCCGCTTCAACAACCCGTCAGGCATACATCAGTAACATAATAGATTTTTCAGTCACAAAGAAGAATCCAAAAGTTGACATCTATTGTCTGCCCTAAGTTTATTTATTACAAGGAAATCCCGTGAAAGACTACTATTTAAAGCAACTGCGTGCTTCCAAGTGCGAGAAATTCAGAGACTGTTTTTATTGTAACACGGTGTAGAAATCACGAAGGTAATACGACACAAATGTAAATATCAGTATGTTTCAATATCTCGGTCGATATGATCTTAATATACTGATCGTAAAGGCTACTCAGATAACCGTATAGTAGTATGCTCCACATCAATCGCCTAGAGAACAAGAAAAGCCGAATCAAAATGTTGTAAACTTTTTGTTGAAATATATATAGTCATTAAAGCTTATGACATATACGAAGCTCGGAAATATAGCAATAATCTTCTAGTGGACACTGCTCTTCGTGTCCGTGAAAGACGGAGAGGCAGAGAAGCGTGGACATGATGGCCGTGACACCAGCCGAGTCAGCCGACAAATAAATGTTTGTTTTCAGCCTTCTGTTCCCACAAGTTGGTGACCCGGACTTCTGAGAACAGAAGGCTCGAAACAAACATTTATTTTTCGCGTGACTAAGCTGACGTCCCAGCCATGATGTAGGAGCTTTCTGTCTCTCCGTTTTTTGCGGACGCGATGTTCAGTGTTCACTACAACGTGTTAGGATGTTGGAATTTCTACAATGTTTTCTGTCTTATTCATCCGTTTCAAGTACGGCAGCGCATGCAGTTTACAGGGCGAGAATACGCTTTTTTTATGATGCGGAGTATGGCAAAATTTAAAACTATACCTTGGATTGTCTAAAGTATATAAACTTAAGGCCCATTTAGAAGACACTACGTAGCCCTAAATGCTAGCTTCCTTGTGATAATTAGCCACCGTTGAATTTCTCTCATAAGAAGAACAAATTGCTTTTTTATTAGCTCATTCCTTTTGCACTTATGGCGTTGCTCTGAACGTATCAATGCAGGGACTATGATTATCTTTGCTTTAGGGTATAGAGTATTAAGAATTTTCTTGCTTGCACTGAGCGGTGACAGTAGAACTAATTGGTAACGTAAGAACCGCACTAGTATATTTCACATGATAAAGAAGCGTCTGATAAAATTTTTGAGGCCTGAAGTTACTAGACAAGAAAAAACAGTGCCGGTGCCGAATAACAACTGGCTTATTGAAAATAACATTGCATACCAGATAACTTGCAGGTCATGTGCGAGTCACGCTAATATAGTTACCGCAACTGAATAACAAACGCCATTTCGTTTTGAAGGCTTGTGCAGAACGCGCAATTTTTTGCAATATAAATAAAAAAAGACATGCTAACACACCGGACACCCGTTAATTTATGCAAAAGATATCTATATATTCTCGTACAACCTCGTTTAATAAAATAAAGCGTGTTCATTATGACTGAAGCATCGCTTGGCAATTCGTCGTTTTCAGGAAGTTGTATGCATGTGATTTTACTTTACTTTACTTTACTTATATTGACGACAGAGCCAAAGAGACACGTCTTCAAAAAAATTAAATGTATATGCTTATGAAAACCTTGTTGATTTATTTTTAGTGGCATCCTAAGCTTTGTAGTCCATGGACTCTAAGAAAAAGAAAGTCCTTACCACTACTTTCATAAGAGTACCAATACATTACCATGCCGCAGTGGTCTAGTGGGTAAGGTACTCGGCTGCTGACCCGCTGGTCGCGGGACCAAATCCCGACAGCAGCGGCTGCTTTATCGATGGAGATGAAAATGCTGCAGGCCTGTGTGTTCAGGTTTGGGTGCACGTTAAAGAACCCCAGGTGGTCGATATTTCTGGAGCTCTTCACTACGGAGCCTTTCATAATGAAATGGCGGTTTTGGGACGTTAAAACCCGCAAATCAATCAATCAATCAATCAATCAATCAGTCAGTCAGTCAGTCAGTCAATCAATCAATCATTCAATCAATCAGTAGTGCCGTGCCGAAAGTAAGTAAGAATGACTATATGAAAAATTGGTTGACAATTTAAAGTGCTTCATGAACTTTGTTACGGGTGTTTCGGCTGTTTCAGGGTTCTCAGAAAGGTGAAAGACACGTGCACCATAATCTTTCGAGTTGAACTAGCAGGGAATTAACAGGTTGCAAAAACTACACCCTCTCCCACTAAAAGTAACCATGAGTAGTGCCTGAGTCCACCTAAAGTTTCTTTCATCATGAAGCACTGGCCCGATTTCAATGCGTCCTTGCACACCGTGAATTTATCGTAGTTTCTGTTGCCGTTACTCGTCCCGAGCTCTTGTTGAAGCACGCCACGTGGGTTCATCGGCACGTCACGAGGGAACACATGAGTTCATCGTGTGTCCGCAGAATATCAGTTCCCGGTGCCATTCTGTGATTGCTGAGAGAGCGTAAGGAGGAGTGGCCATCCATTTACACAGACACTTACGCAGGCCCGCCGTGCGCCAGCGCGTGTCAGCGCGTTCTTACAGTGCTTGGGCCAGCTGTATCACATACGCAGCAAGGTTGGCCACGTAAACCGGATTGCGCTAGGACATAAGTTGCTTCACAACTAAAAGAATAATTCACATCATAGCGATGGAGCAAATGTTGATGAGCGGGTTGAAGCTTCGTGGGATCTGCCCCACCGCGGTGCTCTGGTGGCTAAGATACTCGGCTGCTGACCCGCTGGTCGCGGGTTCGTATCCCGGCTACGGTGGCTGCATTTCCGATGGAGGCGGAAGTGTTGTAGGCCCGTGTGCTCAGATTTGGGTGCACGTTAAAGAACCCCAGGTGGTCCAATTTCCGGAGCCCTCCGCTACGGCGTCTCTCATGATCAAATGGTGGTTTTGGGACGTTAAACCCCACATATCTATCTTCGTGGGATCTCAGCTCAGCTCAGCCATCTGTCTGTCTGTCTGTCTGTCTGTCTGTCTGTCTGTCTGTCTGTCTGTCTGTCTGTCTGTCTGTCTGTCTGCCTGTCTGTCTGTCTGTCCGTCCGTCCGCCCATTCGTGAGTCCCAATCCGAGTACTAGCGGTGCAAGTGCCGCTGCGCCATCGCCATTAGGGAGCGTCCTGATTACTAGGGGTGGCTACTGCACCTATTACGACGAGGGATTAGCTCTAAGGAGCTTCGCCCCTGGAAGTGCTGGCAGGGTTGGAAGCCTCTAGCGGCCTTGTAGAGAAAGGCGGCGCTACAGTCTTCAGTCCGAACGGAATGAGTGCTCAGCGCCACAGGCAAGGGAATAGGAAAGGCCACGGGTCCCTTACGCATTTGCCTTAAATATATCGATGGCGAAACCTATATTTTATTGCCTATTCGATTGTATTTATCCTCGTTGATTACTTGATTTGTGAGAACTTTGTTTAGACGTAATGATGCCGTCAAAAGTTATGGGAGCCTGTGGAACCATTGTGGTGTCGTAGGGTGACTTTCTGGATGAAATATCATCACGTGACGATGATTCTCTTACGTCAGTCTTTTGGCACCGACGCTGCCGACACCGATGGCCACTATATATCTTCGAAGAGGTGCTGGTTCGCCTTTTAGAACATCAGAAGAGGGAGAGGCACCTGCTAAACGTGAACCAACGTACGCAAAGGCTTTTACAGACGCGGATGTACCCCAACCCGGTCGTAATGAATAAAATTAATCCGGACTTCGGGGTTTCGATTTATTGTAGTGGGGGCTTGCTCAAATTTCAACACATCCTCTGGCGCTGCTCCGCAATGGCCGGTGCGGCTTCTCACGGTGAACAGTGGTGACAGCGAATGCTGCACAGTGACGCGTTGGCGGACCAACTCAGGGCTGCCCAGAGGGCCCGTGTGGCGGCGGAGGGGCTTGGCTTCTCTGTCCCGATGTAGGAGGAGCCAGCATCAGTCCTAGATTGATTTTCCGGACTTCAATAAAGTTATTCATACCATACCATATACGCAAGGAGTGCGTCCATCTGTGCTATTTGCGTTGAGCGAGCTCAAAGGAACACGCTCATCTGTCACTAGGGTTTGAGATGGAAGTTGACGCTGAAAGGAAGAAGAAAGAGGGACACGTGTCAATCAGAACCACATTAAAGTGGAACTTGTACAGGAAGTGGTTCTGTTGCGGTATGGTGGCCAGGAACCATTCTGTGCTGGCGACTGCTTGTGCGTTTTTCATGGCGCAGCCTTGCATATCTTGAGAAAGGTGGGCATCGAGGCTTCCCACAGCTAAGGCTTGCCGACACCATCAAAAACTACGAACTGAACAGACTTATACTGAATGTCGTCAGCGTGTATAATGAACGCTCTCACAGTCACTGTTACCTTAATCGGCTCTCGCTGTCACGGTTGCGCTTACCGACAGCAGTCACGAGCTCCGATAATCGTGTTTCAGTCTCCGAGGAGTGTACCTTGAAAGATCAGTCAACAAAGCAAGTTGGCTCAGCTATATCTCAAGAAACAGCTGAAACAATGCACTGGCGAATAAAGAAAAAGACGTTTGCAGTCTGCCAACACAGTATTTTTCTATTGTCAATATTTCGCGAATTTTCGTTCTTGTAGAACAAAATCAGTCTTGTACAACAACCTTTTGCTTTTTGTGTAACATTTTGAGTTGTGATCTATACTTTAAATACCCCTCGCTCTCTTTAATGTCTTGTCGCAATGCAGGTAAGGCGTATACATAACACATAAATGAAAAGAAATATCGGTGCTGCCTCACCCTACAGCTCGTTGTCCTGTGGGTTGCCCTGGTAGTGGCTCCAGCGCATCAGTCCTTCGGCGGGACAGTCGACCACAGTCGGCATGCACATCACCAGAACGCCAGGGGAGGCACGAGGAAGCAGTCTGGATCAGGCAAAGAGTTCCTCGGAGAGGGTGACCAAAGGCCTGGCGTACCCTCTAACCCCTTCTGTGAGTACATGCAGCTCTCTCGAGTGGAAGTTGGCTTGCCTTACACGCGATGCTACTTTAGCCTCTTCAGCTACGATGCTTAAGGTGATGTCCACAGTACCTCGAAGGATCTTGCAGACAGTGTTGGCTGTGCATGGTAACGGGTCTTTTTTGAAATTTGCACTGCGAATTGAGGTAGCCCCTATTTTACGACGGATGATCAGCCACCATGTTGTGTCGCTGCTCATTGATGAGTAACGGCTATATGCAAGATGCATATTTCACGAACCTGCACTGTGCAATGGTACCGTTTTAGGAGAAGATCGCTCGCTTTTCATAACATATTGACTGCAGTTATTACACTTGTTGGCTATAAAGGTGCTGGTTAAGTATTTAGAGTATTTAAACGATTGATCACTCAATCTTGAGTGTAAAAGGAGATTGTTTTTTAACGTTGCCCCTTTTTTGCCCCTTTCTTCACTTTGCCCTCCTTTCGCTCTACTTTTGCAGCAGCGCCTATGCTGAACTCAAACTCACCGCTATTGGCCACAACCTACTACTACAACCCGCACCGGCAAGGATCGGGTTCGCCATCGTCGTCTTCATCCGCACACCACCGCCACCACGACCTGCTACTCAAAGAAGGTGCCGACCAGGAGATTTGCCGGGCGGCTGACGGCCGTGACGGCACCTGCTACGATGCCGTCCAATGCCTGAACCGGGGCGGAACGCCCATGGGACGCTGCGAGGATGGAGTCTGCTGCGTTTGTGAGTAATACAGCCAGATTTACTGGGCGGGACCACTTCTTTCCTAGGTATTGGCAATTCACGGACGTCAGGACATGCGATTTCAGTTGGGCTCAGTGGTGGAACATTCAGCCATGCCAACACAAGTAATGTAATATATATGAATGACCCTGCTGAATATCAATGAAAATGCATGGTCAATACGTCGGAAGCACATACATGTTATGGTCGACCAGATATTAGACGTTTGATATACTCTGGCAGAATTTCACAATTGATAAATCTAGCTTAAATGTGGTGAGAATCGGCTTGGACCATGTGTTGAACCAGGTTAAGGCGTCTCCTACGCAACCTCAGCGCAAAACAAGAATAACTTTAATTAAGCCAACGTCTAAACATGAATGGCACAGTATCAAAAGTGACTTTAACTTTTTTGAATTTGGCAGAGCACGAGTTAAGCAGCAGCCTATCATCTCCCAACACGGGCCCTGAATGTCTTTTAGCCTACTACTACGTGCGTTGTATGGCGGAAACCAACTACTTCACTGTTGTTAAAGGAGACTGCAGTACATAACGTGTGAAAAGTGATCGATAGAATTGGATGTGGATTGGCTTTATTGCCTTAAACACGCGCAAAGTAATCATGACGCAAATAATTATGCAGCAAGTCCACGGGAAAGCTGAGCTGCGTTGTTTCATGGCCGTTGCAGTCAGAATAAACAATGCTTAATTTAAAAAAAAGGAGGACTCTTTTCTTAGCTTAGATCCTTATGGACGCTTATTGTAACAGTCATTGTTCGGCTTCGCCACCAAAATACGTTAAGATATTGTATGCAAATAAAGTAGATAGTTGAACGTGTTTAAACCATTCAGACCTTCATTGAGGCGTCCAACGCTAACCCACTATGGATGAATTTCAACCAAAGGAGTGAGGCGGCAATATTTGTAATATAAGATAGATAGATAGATAGATAGATAGATAGATAGATAGATAGATAGATAGATGTTCATTTAGAAGAGTCTTCATATCAATGGTGGCTGATGGATGAATAGGTTAACGGGCGGAATAATGCATGGGTAGGTGCACGGCTGAACGTTTTTTCTAACATCTGTCCCGGCCTTGAACGAGGACAATATTTAGGACTGGATGACAATTAGTGGCATAATCTACAGTCTCCATCAGTAACAGACAGAACATAAGTGAGATTGTAGAGCTTAAATAAATATTTATACTCGGACGAAAATTCCTAAATCTGTGGCGGGCCCACCTAAACGATAGAAGCGCAGCAGCGACTTGCATAAGCTACTAAAGAAACAGTCAGACTCAGGCACTTGGCAGTGTTTTTTGAAGGCAGTGGGCTGCCCGGCCGTCCCCCTGATGACATCAGTCTGGGCATATATACTCGGACGAAAATTCGGAAATCTGTGGCGCCCCCCCCCCCCCCCCCCCCAAAACGATGGAAGCGCAGCAGGCACTTGCTTAAAGTACTAAAGAAACAGACGGATGCACTCGGCAAAGTTTTCCGAAGGCAGAGGGCTGCCCGCTCGTCCCCCTCACATCAGTATGTATGCAAGCACAATAATAATAATAACAATAATAATAATATAATAATAATAATAATAATATAATAATAATAATAATAATAATAATATAATAATAATAATAATAATAATAATAATAATAATAATAATAAATTGGCAGATCCCACGTGCAGAGGGAATCACTGATATGCGAAGCACGAATTAGGAAGCTTGATATGTAACATTAAATCAGCACAACAATACGAGGCGGAAGTAAATGATGCCGTACGTGATTTTCATCTCATGATTATCGCGTTTGGACGTGTCATTCACCTTCGTCATCTATTCACGTCACCCGATACCGAATTCGGTATATATGTGCAGCTAGCGAAACAGCCGCGAGCACGCTGTGAGCGTAACATGTAGTAATGTTTTAGACGACACGAATATCGTGATTATCATATTCGGAAGTGTCCCATACCTTCGTCGTCCATACACGTCCCGTAATACCAAACTTGGTATATGTGAAGCTAGCGGAACGGCGGCGAGCTTGCGTAACGTCGACGTGCGCCCATGCTGGCTACAGCGACGCTACGCTAGCAAAAGGCGAGCACTCTATTAGAGAGTTTTAGTACTGCGTACGTGGCGGCGTTGCGCACGTAAGGACGCCACGTTCTGCGTAGTGCGCATGCGCAGACCGCAACGCGCACGTGTCATAGCAACGCACCGCGGCGTGCGCCTGCGAGTACATGCCAGGCAGATTGGCGCCTGGCGTGGCATGGCCAGCGTGACGCGGCCAAACGAACGCCAGCGCGCACGCGCGTCAGGTCCCGTCGAATTGTTTTGGCGCCTTGAGTGTGCAAGTAGTCATGTTCTTACATGACGCGCATCTCATGATTATCATGTGTGCACCAGTCACATATACCTCCACCATTCCATTCACATGACGTCATATCAAATTTGGCATATGTGAAGCGAGCAAAACGGCCGCGAGCACGTCATGAGTGTGGCATGTATGTAGTCTTGTTACATGACACGCATGTCATGATCACCATGTTTGGACGTGTCATTTGCATATGTCATCCGTTGGCGCCACGTAATACCGAATTCGGTACATGTGAAGATAGCGAAGGGACCGCGAGCGCATCATGTGTGTGGCTGTAGTCACGTTGTTACATGGCACGCGTCTCATGATTATCATGTTTGAACCAGTCATATACCTTCGTCATACATTCACGTCTTGTAATACCAAATTTGGTGTATGTGAAGCTAGTGAAACGGCCGCGAGCGCGTCATGAGCGAGGCATGTCGTCATGTTTTTAAATGACATGCATATCATGTTTATCATGTTTGCACCAGTCACATACCTTCATCATCCATCCACGTCCCGTGACAAAGCTAGCGAAACAACTGCGAGCGTGCCATGAGCGTGACGCAAAGTCATGAATCATAACCTACATGACATGCATGTTATGATTTCCACGTTTGGATCTGTCACTTGTATTCACCGTGCAGTCATGTCATACCATGCCAATTTTGCAACATGTCATGTGAACGAAATCACCGCAAAAGCCGCAAGACCCTGAAATATAAATCATGACTTTAATGACATATATCATGATAGTCATGTTCTGACTAGTCAATTATGATTGTCATACAGTGATGTTATGCCACACCAAATATGGTATTGATACCATTAACGAAACGGCCAGGATAGCTGAAAGTCGTAGGCGGCTAGATAGATAGATAGATACATAGATACGCTCAAAGTCACCGAAGCTCGTTAAGAAATGCTTCGCAATTAGTAATATTAATATCTAAGTTTATTGTTTGTTTCGCATTCGCCTTGCTGAAGTAATCGACGCTTTGTTTATAACGAGGCTCAAATAGTAGTAGCAGGAACTCGTAGGTAGAGTTTTTATTGCCTTTACAAGAATTGCTTGATTTTTTTCCCCATTTTTTAGAGAGTATGTCTCCTTCCGAAGTTGAGCATGGCGTCTATAACGTGGTGGTTCTTTGTATGGCCCCAAACGCGGTGTATTCCCACTAAAATGTACCCCCAACGCTCAAAATGTTTCTCCTATTTGCTTTTTTTGTGCGTATCTGACTTTGTGAACGCGTTAACGAAGTGAGCGAGACAAAACTGAAATCAGCTACCAACTGCCATACCATACATGCATTCCAACACGAGTATGCGGAAGCCTCATCCCGTAGTCATCGCGCCAATGCCGCGATAAGTTGTCGCTGAGTGAAGGGAGGTGCAGTTCCAGTATAGAGTCACAAGGGGCGTATATACTTCGACACCCTTACGGAAAAAGTGTCGAGGTACGTTAGTCAAGGTGACAAGGGCTGCAGCGCGAGCACGAAGGTGCTAGAAGAAGCGTGAAACGAAAGGCAAGGCAAGGAAAGCAAAGTGTTGTTCTTTTTGCTTTCCTTGCCTCGCCTTTCGTTTCACGTTTCTTTTAGCACCTTCTAGCTCGCGCTGCAGCCCTTATCACCATGAATTCTAACCAACTAGCCCAATTAGACGTTAGTCAAGGTCTAGAGCCACCTATAGTCGTTCATAACCAAAGAATGAATACAAGCGCCGCCCGCACAACTGCGGCTTACCTGCTATTGATACGTGCAAGATAGCCACACTACTTATACATATAGTTTTCATTCGAGAAGCATATGATGGGGGGCTAGTTGGCAAGACATTTAGGAAAATTATAACTGCGGTAAAAACGAGACACGAGAACGAAGTGGACTGGACGATCGCAGTTTTCATTGCAACCTTAGATGAATTTCCACTGCTAACATAAGTGGCATAAGAAGTTCATAGTCCCTATTTCAAATAATATGTTGTACAGAGAGTGATGTCAAAATCTTCGCGGAAATCGCGCAGAACGTCAACCTTTTTCGACCACAAACTAGTACAGCACCAACATATGAGTGTGTAATGAAACTACCCATCTCAAATGTGCGAATGGTACATGACGTTCACGAAAATAAGTAAACGAGATTTGCTGAGCAACCTGTGAAAATATTTTCCGAGTGGGAGAGTTATGGTTGTAGGTGGAGTTTACATTTATTCTTAGGTTGGTTGCAAGCGACTAGAGTATTTATTTTGTCACTCTGAAGAATAGATAACACAAAAATCAAACCACGAATGAACCTTCTGAGCGGTATCGGTTTGTCGGTATCGGTTAGACATAACATTCTGTTTTAGGCATATAAATGCTTGCTTTGAGTGCATTATAGTAAAAGATGAGAAAGAGCTATGGAGCGAAAAGTCGTTGTAGTATTTTGATTTTCTTCTCCGGGATACCTATGCAAAAATGTCAGGAAACATTGCAAAGAAACCAGAGTGAGCATGGTAGCTTTTAAAGGTTGGATATGTTCGTATTGTCTATATAAAAGTTTATCCAATCCAATCCAATCCTCCGCGTAGCCTTCGCAAGCCAAATCTCTTCCCCACCCTCTCCGGCATCCTACTAAAGAGGTGACGTGCGCATGAC